CCCCCCCCCCCGCTTCATTTTTTTGGATCTTCTCTAACTCCGTGGCAAGTGGCGATAGGAGGTAACTTCTTTTGCAAAAAATTTTGTTTCAAGTAACGCTAAGCGGTACGTCACCACTTAGGGGGTCTAAAATCCCTTGCAAGGGATTTCGGTTCCCTGTGGACTGATTGGTCCCAAATTTGGATCACAGGTGTAGGGACACCAATAAAGCGGGTGTACCAAATTTCGTCAATTTTGAAAAAAATTTTTGGCGGGAAATCGGTTTTTGTTTGCGCATGCGCACAACAAAGTTGATTCTGCTTTCGTAATCCGGTACTGCGCATGCGCAGCGCAGTGCAGTGTGATAAAGTGCGCGAGTGTTGTGGTTTTTTTTTTTTTTTCTTCTCGCGCAGGCGCACGGCGGCTGAGTAAAAATTGATAAAATGTCCACAACATCGGAAATATCGATGGAAGAAATGGAGGGGTGTAGTGGAAGCCTTACGGAGGCTGTGAGTCCATCAACAGGAGCAGTAACCAAGATGAGAAAGGTGTCGGTTGATAAAGGACCGGAAAAGCTAAAAGATAGCATGGCATCGGTGAAGAATATAATGGGATGGTTCATGACAACGACGATGCATGATCTTATAGGTAAAACCTTCACTGTGGAGAGGAAAAAAGCGTTTTCGCAGAAGATCATGGAATTGGAAAGGGCGATTACTGTAATGATGAATCAATGTGGTGTGGCTAATGCAAAGTTGGAAGAAAGTAGGTACAGTAACGAAAAGCTAATAGACAGATTATGCGAAATTAGAAAGGAGAAGGAAATGATGGAAGTAAGAGTAATGGAACTAGAAAAAGGGAACACCAGAACAAGGGAAGAAGAGGACGGGGATAGCTCTAGAATGCCTCCGCCAAACATGGTGCCATCATATTCTCAAGCGGTAAGGAATAGGAACAGGGAGGAAGGATTAAAGGAAAAGAACGATAGAGTAACTGAGAGAGCAAGATCAAGGTCCTCAAAAAGGAATAAAATAAGAAAGGAGTGTAAAGAACAAACACCACAGGTGCCGTTTGAACTTAATATTGGAGACGGGGAGGCACACAACACAAAGGAAGAACTGTGGATGGAAGTTACCAAAAAGGTAACGGTTCCGAAGATGACGTTGCTCAAGAAAAATGACAAGCTAATAATTACTGCGAAGGATGAGGAGACTCTAAAGGCACTAAAAGATATTGCCACAGAGGACAAAAGGATTAAGGAAAGAAGTGCAAGGTGGCCCAAACTCATGGTAAAGGGAGTAGACAAAGAGATACCAGGAGATCAAATATCTCGGGCAATTGCTTTCTCAAATAGGGAAATTGGGGTAGAACTGGTAGAGGCGGAGAGAAATATAAAGCCATTGTTTAGAAAGGGCCCAAGACATATGGATACGGTGAATTGGGTGATAGAAGTGGCACCAGGACTAAGTGAAAGAATAATGAAGATGGGATATGTTTACATTAAATGGAATAGATGCAAGGTGCAAGAATTCTATGATGTGTCACAATGCTTCAAGTGTTTGGGGTTCGGACACATCATGACTAAATGCAGGCAGGAGGGATTTAGATGTAAACATTGTGCGGGAACACATGACTCATGGAACTGTATGACCAAGGAGAATGTCAAGTGCTACAATTGTGGTCAACAGCACATTGCAACATCCGACATTTGTATCACAAAAGAAAGGAAAATAAGAGACCAACTTAGGAGGACAGATTATGGTGATAGACATGGCGAATCTACCCAACTGTCATGATGTCAACACTGAACACCAATAATATGAGGTTATCAGTCTCGGATATGATGACAAGAGATGGGGGAGGGCAAATAAAAGTTTTACAGATAAACTTAGGAAGAGGTGCGGTGGCGAATGAGGATGTGATGGAATACTGCCAAAAAAATGGGGTAGATATTGCAATGGTACAGGAGCCATACACAAGAAACGGAGTAATGAAATCAATAGAAGTAGGTAGGTACAGGGTAGTAAAACCGGCAATAAAGGACAGACAAGAGGAGCACAACTCAGGAATAGGAGCAGCAATAATTGTATTCAACGAGGACTTGATAGTAATGGCAAGGAATGAGTTGATGACGGATAACATGGCGGTAGCGACTATAAGCAACTTGGGACCTGAGCCAATAAATATGATATCAGCGTATTTTAAATTTAGTATACCTACGGAAATACATCTCAAGAAAATGGATGATATAATGGATAGACTGGAAGGCCCTATCATAATTGGAGCGGATGCAAATGCAAAATCTACAAGATGGTATAATGAAAGGGGAGATAGCAAAGGAAAAATAATGGAGGAGTGGATAGACTCAAGAGGGATGGTGGTAAAAAATGAGAGTGACCAACCATATACGTTCAAGGGAACTATGGGCAAAAGCAATATAGACATAACAGTAATCAGCAGGGAAATAACGAGTAGAATCGAAAATTGGAGCGTACAAACAGGTGAAATATGTAGTGATCACAGAATAATAAGATATGAAGTAGCAATGGAAGAAAAGATATTAAAAATGAAACAACCGGAAAGATTTAACACGGAGAAAGCGGATTGGAACAAGTTTGAGGCATTAATAATGGAGGAGACGGCATTGAAGGAAGATGAATTCCAAAGGGCGACAACAGAAGAGAAAGCGAAGATATTGCAAGACATGATGGTAGAAGCAGCAAGGAGAACAATACCAAAGAAGAGAAGAACAGATAAACCAAAACCGCCCTGGTGGGACAGGGAATTAGCAGAAAAGAAGAAAAAAGTGAGAATAGTGCAAAGAAGGAGGGAAAATGGAAGGGAAGATGAAGCAGAAGAGAACAATAGAAGGTATAAAAAGGAAAGGAATGAATACACGACACTGATAAGAAGGAAGAAAATGGATTCATGGAGAAAATTTGCGGAGTCGATAAATACTGAAGACTGGGGAAAATGTTATAGATGGGTAAGAAATGGAACAAGAAAGGGAGTAACGATCACGACAAAAAGGAAAGAAGATGGCACATATACTAAAAATACGAAGGAAACGATAGAGTACATGCTAGGTAACATGATACCGACAGAGGAGCCAGGACCGCCGGTGGAATTAGATGAGGAGGAAGCAATATTAACAGAGCAAGAGATAAATATGGAAGAACTAAAGGCAGCGGTCTGGAGAATAGGCAGCAAGAAGGCGCCTGGAGAGGATGGCATAACGGCAGGAATAGTAAGGAAGGCATGGACGGGGATCAAAGAATGGATGGGGGAAATAACGAGAGAAGTAATAAGCACAGGGATATTCCCGGAGATATGGAAAAGGGCAAGGATAGTACCGCTATTAAAAGCAAAAGATGCAGACGAAACAATGACGAAATCATTTAGGCCGGTGAGCCTGCTTCCGGTGCTGTCGAAGGTGGTGGAAAGAATGATGGTGGACAAAATGAGAAGAGAGATAGAGCCGAAGCTAAATGTAAATCAGCATGGATTTACGTGTGGTAAATCTACAATAACGGCAATGAAAAGCATAAAGAGCTGGGTAAAACAATCGAGAGGTAAATACGTTATGGGGATTTTTCTGGACATAACGACGGCATTTGATAATGTCAAATGGAATCCAATGTTGAAAAGAATAAAAGAATTGGGAGGAAGCTGGAATACGTTGAAGCTGGCGGAATCCTATCTAAAAGGAAGAAGGGCAAAGATGATGGAAGGGGGAGTTGAAGCAAGTGTAATACTGAAGAAAGGGTGTCCGCAGGGGTCATGTTATGGTCCTTTCTTATGGAAGGTGGTGGTTGATGAAGTCCTGGAAACGGAGGGGGCGGAAGATCAACATAGAATTGCATATGCGGACGACATAGCTATATTGGTATCAGCAAGCAATAAAAAAGATCTAATAGCGAAAATAGCAAGGAATACGGAAGATGTACCAGTATGGGCAAATAAGTACGGACTAAAGTTCTCGGAGACAAAATGTGTGGGGATGCTGCTCAAGGGAAAACTCTGGCAAGGATATGGGATAAAAATGGGAGAACAAAAGATTAAGGTGGTACGGGAGGTGAAGTACTTGGGGGTGAGAATGGGGGAAAGATTGAACTTTCAACCACATATAAATGGGATGAAGAATACGGCGGAGGAATTCTACAGTAGACTGAGGGCGATATGTGGCACAAATTGGGGAAAAATGAGTAGAACAGACACTTTGTTATATAAAGCGGTGTTCATACCTAAAGTAAGTTATGGAGCGGAAATATGGATCAGAAAAATTACCAGAAAACAAAGAGAGGTGTTGTGCTCAATACAAAGAAGGACGCTTATGGCAGCCACAAGGGCTTATAGGACTACATCTACGGTGGCGTTGCAGCTTATGGCGGGGTACATGCCACTGGACCTAATGATCCAGCATACGGTGGAGACAAGAGCGGATGGAGTTGATGGGAAGGAAAGCTGGGAAAGCAAACTGGATGAATGGCAGCGAAGAGTGGACCTGGCCGAAGAGGGTGAATGGACCAAGAAGTTTTTTCCGGATGTCAGAAGAAGGATGGGGATACCATTAGAAATGAACTTCTATGTAGCACAGTACATAGGGGGGCATGGCGATTTTAAATGGAAACTAAAAAGACTAGGATTAACTGACTGTGATGAATGTGACTGTGGAGAGGGGCAGGACAGCGTGGAGCACGCCCTGATCCATTGTAAACTAAATAGGCAGCATCGGGAAAGACTGGAACTAAGTTGCTTAAGAAAAGGGATACTATGGCCATGTAACCTCTCGGAATTGGTGGAACATAGAACGTTATACGAGGAGTTGGGAAGATATGCAAAGAATACGCTGGAAGAAAAGAAGAAGAGGAGGGAAATAAGAACAATGCAAACATAAAAAGGATAAAACAAGGGAGGTATGACGAGGGCTGATAACACAGCCCAAAAGCCCTCCAGCAAGGGGCTTAGAATTCTACTGGGGTAATAATTATGCCGGTCGTAAAAGGCGACCATAATAGTCGACGGCTGAGGTCGCTAAAACAGGGGTGGTAACCTTATAACCCTCGGGACGAGCGTCCTGATGGGGCTCACCTGGGCCCGGTTACATCAACCAAGACGGGTAGACGACCGCAAAGCTTCGGCCGACGAGCAACTGTCGAACAGGCCACCAGCCTGGGTGACCGAAAGGAACCAAAAAGGTGCTACGGGCGGGGGAGGGCCCCGGGTCGCGGCACTCGTCCAAGAACGGGTAAGTCGCGCCCTGCTCCCCCGGCACTTGCGTGCGGACCGACGCCGTCGCTCCGTGCGCAGTGTTGGCTTGGCTTCGTAGTGGCGGTTGCAGGAGCAACTATGTGGTTATGGCCAAGCTCGGCTAGGAACCTGTCGTTGGGTGACAGGTCAGCCTACTCAACCAGTGCAAACTGGTAGGGTGGTGCGAGAAGCTCCCTGACTTCCTGTTCTGCTCTACCGGTGGGAGTTAATTACCGGAGGTGTAGACGCCTACCAGATGCGTTTAGTGGCCGAGATAGGGCCACGCCCTTACCGGGGTGTCTGAGAATGATGCGGGGTTCAAAGACGACAGGTACGCAATGGCGAGGAGTACACGTCAATGCGGTGCTGGTGTTCCTTAGAAGACCCAGAACGGGTCCGGACCGAGAAATCGTTCCGGCTCTTCTGTCCTGCCCCGATCTGTGAATAGCGCCACAGCGCTAAAACGGGTCGGGGTTGTAGGTTAGCCGCAAGGTGACACCATGCAAAGGACACTCATGTCCCTATCTACTACTATCGCGCGGACTACGACTGCGGTAACACGTGTGTTACGCAGCTCAGGTGTTTTTTGGCGATTTTTGATGCAGTTTTCGAGTTACATTTTAGTTGTAGACATATCTTCATCGGTTTTAGTGCGCGGAGCCACTGGTGCCGATTTTGAGTCGGTGGCGCTAAAGTATAAGCCCGAAGGCTAAAGTTCTAGTTTTTCTTTCAAGTTTTGTACTATTGAACACGTGGTTTTTAACGTTACCGTGTGCTACAGCGAACAGCAAGTCTGGTACCGCACTTGGAGTCGGCCATTTTTGCGGTGATATTATTTGTGTATTATTTCATAACTTCCCCACCCCCCGCAATATTGGAGAGCGCNGACGCCAATAAAGCGGGTGTACAAAATTTTATCAACTTTGATAAGATATTTTGGCGGGAAATCAGCTCTCGTTTGCGCATGCGCATAACGGAGTTGATTTTGTTCTCTTAACTTGATACTGCGCATGCGCAGTGTAGTGCAGTGTAAAGTGCGCGAGTGCGTGTGTGTTTTTTTTTTTTTTCGCGCATGCGTACTAGTGAACTAAACTCTAAGACAACATGAGCGAGCCGAGCTCGCCGGGAGGAAGTCGGAACGTTATAGCGGCGGCTGTTAGTCCGGGGACGGGCCATGTGACTAAGAAAAGGTTAGCCACACCGGATATGTTCATGGAAGTGGTGGAATTGTCGAAGGAAATAAGTATGGTGGCATCATGGTTCACTGAAACGGTGGCGCAGATAGGTATTGCGAAGTCAATAAATTCGGACCAGAAAAGAGCCATGGTAGCTAAAGCTAATGAGCTCACTAATGCCGTTACGGCTATTATGAATGGTAGATCAGAACTACTAGGTAGAATCTCCGAAAATAGACTGCAGTATGATGCGTTACTGGAGAAATACATAGAGTTGAAGGCGGACAGATTGATGGCTATAGCAGGGAAAGGAATCTTAGAGGAAGAAATTGTCAAGAAGAATACAAGAATCGCGGAATTGGAGAAGAAGG